GTTTCCTCTGGAAAGAGGGCAGAAAAGAGAAACAGAGAGAAATGAAGGCTAAAACATTATGAAGTATGTTTACAGGAATGAGGTATGTCTAGTCTAGTGAAAAGAAGAACCAGGAGGGACATAATAGCAGTCTTCCAAAATTTGAGGGGCTCCTATAAAGAAGAGGCAGTCTGTCATGTTTCCGAAAGATGCCCTAATTAATTCATGAGCCATGCAAGTTGACACAGTCAACTTATTTTCCAAAGCTCTAGAAGGCAAGATAAGAAGCAATGGATGGAAATTGTACAAAGAGAGAAGCAACCTAGAACTAAGGAGAAACTTCCTGACAGCAAGAACAATCAACCAGTGGAACAACTTGCCTTCAGAAGTTGTGGGTGCTCCAACACTGGAAGTTTTTAAGAAGGGACTGGACAACCTTTGGTCAAAAGTGGTTTAGGGTCTCCTGCCTGACCACAGCACTGGAATAGAAGACCTCCCAGGTACTTTCACCTCTTTTATTCTATTAACTGCAAACTGGAGTAAGTCAGGAAGAGGATGCCACCATAAGATTAGTTCTATTTATTATTTATTCTATTTATTAGTTCTATACTAAGAAATATGGTTGAACTAAAGTTCTCCAGTCCAGCAACGAATCATGTAATATGATAATTAGAACATGGTCAGAAAACAGTAGGAAAAACATTATTCCAGCAACTACTCTTCAGAAATGTTGGATTTTGGGGCTCGGTTCCAAGGGCCTTACTTGAGGCTCAACTGCAGGCACTCCTGTTGTTATCCTATCTTTATTTTGAATCTAATTTATTTATTTTATTTATTTATTTATTATATTTCTATACCGCCTTTCTCCCGTAGGACTCAAGGCGGTGTACAGTCAAGAAAAATATAGACACACAAACATCATAAAATTGCTAATTAAAATTATTACTTAGTTTGGTCAATTAAATAAAACCCAGAATTAGATAACATTTAAAAAATCATTCACATGTTCGTATGTTTAGCCCCGCCTGTTGGAACATCAGGGTCTTGAGGGCACGGCGGAAAGCACGGAGATCAGGGATATTCCGTATCTCCGGGGGCAGTTCATTCCAAAGGGTTGGAGCCCACACAGAGAAGGCCCTCCCCCTGGAAGTCGCCAGTCGACATAATTTGACTGGCGGTACCCTGAGTAGTCCCTCCCTGTGAGAACGAACTGGTCGGTGGGAGGCTATTGGTGGCAAAAGACGGTCTCGTAGGTACCCAGGTCCTAAGCCATGGAGCGCTTTAAAGGTGATAACTAGCACCTTGAATCGCACCCGGAAGACCACCGGGAGCCAGTGCAGCTCGCATAGGAGAGGTGTTACATGGGCGTAACAAGCTGCGCCCATAATCACCCGCGCGGCTACGTTCTGGACCAGTTGGAGCCTCCGGGTGCTTTTCAAGGGGAGCCCCATGTAGAGAGCATTACAGTAGTCCATACAGGAGGTAACTAGGGCATGAGTGACTGTGTGCAAGGCGTCCCGATCCAGAAAGGGACGCAACTGGAGGATCAGGCGAACCTGATAAAAGGCACCCCTGGCCACGGCCGTCAAATGATCTTCTAAAGATAACCGTGAATCCAGGAGGACACCCAAGTTGCGGGCCCTCTCTGTGGGGAGCAAGATCTCATCCCCTATTGTCAGTGATGGTACCAGCTGACTATACCGGGACGCCGGAAGCCACAGCCACTCGGTCTTGGAGGGGTTGAGTCTGAGCTTGTTTCTCCCCATCCAGATCCGCACGTATCTAATGCATAATATCTTCGAGTGGAAGGAGCTACTGAATTCAACCACCTGAATTCCAATGTTGAATGGCTCTTGTTGTTAGAAATATCCTAATATTCAGCCAGAACATTCTAAATAATGCATTCTGAGATGATTTTAAAAAACAGATTGAGGTGCAGGAAAAATGCAAACTCAAACTTTAAAATGCTTGGTCAAGGCTACACACTGGGATTCTGCTACGTTGACCCCTTCTAAAGATGAGAATACTGCATGGCAATGTTGCCACTGAAGATACCAAGGCATTGTTGACTTACTCTTTTTTTCCCCTTGGAATGAAGATTATTCCTTTTCTTGCTGGTACTGATATACCCACTGCTTTCTGCTATCCTCACTGCCCCATCGTTCTTCTCTTTGTAGGAAAGTGTGCAACGTTAGAATGTCATAATGAATGTCCTCCTTTGGGAGAGCCATCTAGCTTCTATCCCTTCAGCATGTAGAAAATGTGTGAAGAAGCTTCTCCTTTGACATTTCACTGTTAGAGTATTTAAGTGCAGGTTAATCTGGATGCCTGTTTTCCTTGGCTGATATTGTTTTTATTTATAAAAGGTTTGCCAGATTGAGTGCTTCCCAGAAGAGAAAAATGGAATGTACATCAAATAAATCCTTGGAAATAATAGCAGAACATGGTTGTAATTTTGCTGTGCGTGGAGAATTGGGTCTGGTTTGGAGCTGTTCATTTTCACAGTAGCCCATAGTTATATCCTGTAGCTTTCTGCCCTAAACAAGACAATCCATCAGAGATTAAATAGATGGAATGAGGTGCAATGATGGAAGGTTTTTTGCTCGTGGTATTCTTTGTGGATGGCTAGAACAATTTGGGAAAAACCTTTAAGAGGAAGAGTGATCTCTTGTTATTTGTTTGAGGCTCCAACTTGTATAATTAGGAGTAGGGACATTCCCAGGGCAAACTTATGAGGGCTTTAATTCAGGGGTGAAATCCAGCAGGTTCTGACAGGTTCTGGAGAACTGGTAGCGGAAATTTTGAGCAGTTCGGAGAACCGGCAAATACCAGCTCTGGCTGGCCCCAGAGTGGGTGGGAATGGAGATTTTGCAATATCCTTCCCCTGCCACGCCTACCAAGCCATGCCCATCAAGCCACCCGACAGAACCCGTAGTAAAAAAATTGGATTTCACCATTGCTTTAATCCAACATATCCATATGGAAAAACATGATGTGCCTATCATTTGCCTATTATTTGTTCAATTCAATCAATCAATTTATTACGGTCTTAGACCAGAGTTATTATTTGTTTACTAACCAGCATTTGGAAATCATAGCTCTGCTTTTTCTGAATTTGAACTTTTGGGAGGGGGACATATTATGTCAGCTTGGGAAGTCAAGGGTTGCCAATGAACAAGTAAATGTAGAAATACAAACAAGTATTCCATGCATTTGACATTAGGACCTGTTTTTCACCAGACCTGGAAAAAAAATATTGGGCATCCTTTTTTTTTTTTTTTTTTTGAACAGGCAGCTAAATGGAAAAAGGTGAGTATGAAAAGGAGAATTGTATACTGCTCAAAGCAAGAGTCGAAATAAAGCTTCCAATTATTTTATCTTACTTAAATTCTTTGATAAATACCCTCAGAGAAGACTTAAAAGGACTTTCTGGTTAGAGTTTATGCTTGGGAAAACAGGAAGTTAAAAAGAACTAACTTCCTCTGTAGTTAGAAAACTCGAGAATTTTCTCTATGGTCAACCTTGCAAAAAATGTTTAAAACATATGGTGACAGTGCTTGATTTTATCAGAGTAATCTTGATGACTTTGGGAACTGTAGAAATAGGGTGGGAGGCCACAGGTTCCCTATTCTGGCTAACCTGGCTAGGTGGCTCAGTGGCTAAGATGCTGAGCTTGTCGATCAGAATGGTCGGCAGTTCGCCGGTTCGAATCCCTAGTATAGGTCTCCTGCATGAGCAGGGGGTTGGACTAGATGACCTTCAAGGTCTCTTCTAACTCTGTTACTGTTACTATTAGTGGCAGAGAACATACATAATCAATACACATACACACACAAAGTGCCAATTTGATGTGGTGGCTGTCTCCAGGACTAGGAAACGTTGACTTCTGGTCCTCCCTTAGGCATGAAAGCTGGCTTGGGTGACTTTGAACCAGTCCCTTTCAATCAGCCTAGCCCACCTCACAGGGATGTTGTTGGGGGTAAAACAGTGGGGGAGCATTAAGTATATATGCTATTTTGAGTTAGTAAAACATAAAGGCAGGATAAATAGCATTCAGCTGCCTGCAATTACTGCTAGTTCAAATCTCTCCAAGGCTCAAGGTTGACTCAGCCTTCCATCCTTTCAAAGGTAGGTAAAATGAGGACCCAGACTGTGGGGGCAATAAGCTGACTTTGTATAAATATACAAAAGTATGAAGGCTATTGCTTAACGCATTGTAAGCCGCCCTGAGTCTCCGGAGAAGGGCGGCATATAAATCAAATTTTAAAAAAATGAAATGAAATGAAAATAACAAATCTATACAGCTGCCCATTTATCCAAGAAATTGGGCAGCAAACAAAAATACAAAAAATTGAAACTAAAAAGAAACTGAATAGCCTGATGACGGCCATGATTTAATGAGAATTTCAGAAATTTCAGTTGCTGGATCTAAATGAGGAAAATGTTTGAAGAGATATATTTGTCTAAGGAGGGATTAAAATCAAATAACATCCTTTCCATATTAAAAATGTGTCTATCCTACATTGATCAGAATGTCTCTTTGGAGAATTAGTTGGGAGTAATTACTTGGGAGTAATTCTGAGTAGACAGAATAGCTCTTTAAAATACAGGATGGGGTTAAAGAAGGCTGGAATTCCATATTCTGTGTTTTCTTCTTCTTCTGAGAGGTAAATTTAATCTTTAAGTAAATATTTTGTGATTTGCTAAAATGTATTGTTTTGTATTTCAAAAAAAAACAGCAATCATACTCTATAAAATCAGCATTCTCATACTGTAATGTAATAAAAAAATAAGAAATCAATCAATATCCAGAAAAATATAAATATAGAATTTAAAGGTGGAGTAAAAACTGGATTAAATCCAGGCTACTACTAATGGTGGTGGCTATTTCTTATTATTAATTTTCCTATTTTGAATTTAATTTGTATAGCTTTTAAAAATATTTTTTGCAAAAATAAAATAAGAAACCAAAAAGCATCACACACATTTTGTAAAAACACCACTGGCAACCTGTTCTGAGTTTGCATGCAATTCAGAGACCTTAATAGCCTCTAAAGGTGTTGCCAATTAAAACAATTGAAAAGAGCTTATAAATGAAAGCAAAACCTTTTTTAAAAAAAATCCCCTCCAAATACTTGCAAGGTTGGTGATCCATGGATCTCCACCCACTTTGCATCATCATCTCATCTGCCAACAAGAGATTATCTGATCCCGTTCTGAAACAGAAACCAGATCGAAACTTCTCCATAAGAGCATGTTTGTGGGGCATGGTGGAATTCAATTTTTTTTTACTGCCGGTTCTGTGGGCTTGGTGGGCATGGTGTGGCTTGGTGGGCGTGGCTTGGTGGGCGTGGCAGGGGAAGGATACTGCAAAATCCCCATTCCCACCCCACTCTGGGGCCAGCCAGAGGTGATATCTGCTCGTTCTCTGAACTACTCAAAATTTCCGCTACTGGTTCTCCAGAACCTGTCAGAACCTGCTGAATATGACCTCTGTATGTGGGGTAATAAGATAAGATAAGGTGGGGCATGGAATAATCATTGTTTTCTCAAACCCAGCAACTTTTAAGTTTTGTGGACTTCAACTCCCAGAATTCCCCAACTTGCATGCTGGCTAGGGAATTCTTAGAGTTGAAGTCCACAAAAGTTAAAATTGCCAAGTTTAAAAAACACTGGGATAAATCAAGGCTGCGCAGAAGGGGTTACAGTTGCTATGATCCATCTAATTTTCCTTGCTGCCATCTCTTTCAGTTGCATCACAAAACTTGCCAGGGAAGACAACCCTTTTCTGAAAAAAGACCTTTGCAATCTCAAGTTTCCCACGATGGAAGAATGCAAGCCGACTGAAACATTCACTAGCTTTCAATGCAACACCACCTTGCTATACCTGAAATGCTTCATGGTCCTCAGCCAATCACAAAAGCCCATGATTGCTGTTCTATGTTTCTGCATTGGTGGGCTTTGCATCGTAGAGAACCTCTTGGTACTGTTCCTCATCTTTTCTTCTTCAAAGCTTCGGAAGAAACCTTCTTACATCCTTCTCAGCAGCTTGGCTTTAGCAGACACGCTGGCGACAGTTACGTTTGTCAGCAGCTTTCTTAACTTCCATGTTTTTAATATGATGAGTGCTTCCAAGGAGATATACTTGCTAAAGCTTACCGGGGTCAACACCTCCTTCACAGCTTCCCTTGGCAGCCTGTTCTTGATGGCATTCGACAGGTACATCTGTATCCTCCGACCCAGCCACTACAAGCAGTTGGTCACCAGGAGAAGAGCTGTGGTGGCTCTGTTAGTGCTGTGGGCAGCGGCCCTGTTCCTATCCTCCTTGCCTCTTCTGGGATGGAACTGCTGTAGCCTCCAGTCTACCTGCTCCCAGCTGTTCCCTTTTGTTGCTGACAGCTATCTCTCAAGCTGGATTATCTTGGTGACGGTCCTCCTGGCTTCCATCATTTATGCATACATGCACGTCCTTTGGAAGGCTCACCAACACACCGCGAACATGAAGAAGCACCATCTGGAAGAATTCCAACAAAACCCAAAGAGGAGACTTGACATCAAACTAGCCAAGACTCTATCGATCGTCCTGATGGTCCTGGTGATATGTTGGTTACCGGGCTTGTTACTCATGGCCTACAGCCTCTTTTCAATCATGGACAACTTTACCAGGGTGGCATTTGCCTTTTGCATCACCCTCTGTCTGGTGAACTCAATGGTGAACCCAGCTATCTATGCCCTACGGAGCAAGGAGCTAAGCTCTTCCCTGAGGAGAATCTGCTCTTGTTTGGGGAAGGTGTTGGGCAATTTGGAGACCAATCAGGAAGCAGAAAGCTCTTAAAAGTACATCCTAGTTGGAAATTAACGCACAATGTTCCTGTGCATCAACATGGGAACGTTCCTCCATTTGGAAGCAACTCACAGCAATGTCATCTCCAGCTATCCTTGAACTATAATTCCCAGCATTCTTCACTATCAACTTTGGGAATTCCAGATCAGCAATATCCAGAATGGTGCAGGTTCCTTCTTGTTCTCTGAAGACTAAAGGGATACGCTTCCTTCTGCTGAAGGATATCTGAGACTTTGATGCTTTGGTGGGAGGAGGGGGTTAAGGAGGGGACAAAGGGAGACATAAGCATCTCCAAAGTTTAAGGTACCTACTGTATTTTGCCTTTCAACTGCCTGCTCTTGAAACCACCCCAAATGCAAAAAGCAAAAAGCTTGCCCCCCACCCCATCACAGTGGGACTCTCTGGGGTCATCCAAGGGATTTTGGATCACACTTCTTGTACTTCCATTCCTCAGGCAAAAGTTATGCTTTGAGATTAAACATTCCCGAAGGTTACAATTGGGGAAAAAACTCCAGGGGATATCAATAGGTTGCCAGAACAACATGTACTAGAACAACTTAGTACCTAGTAATAATCTGACTCGTATCCAGTTCCTAGAGTTTTTTTTTAAAAAAAGAGAGAACTATCAGCAGTAATTAAATTCAAGAGATTCCCTGCAGCAGGATGGTCTTATAATAATTTATGCATTAAGTAATTTAATTACTTAAAGGAGCCTTGGTAGTACAGTGGTCTAAAGCACTCTGTTATTAAGACCAGCTGCCTGCAATTACTGCAGGTTCAAATCTCGCCAGGCTCAAGGTTGACTCAACCTTCTATCCTTTCTAAGGTAGGTAAATTGAGGACCCAGTTTGTGGGGGCAATAAGCTGACTTTGTATAAATATACAAAAGGATGAAGGCTATTGCTGAGCACATTGTAAGCCGCCCTGAGTCTCCGGAGAAGGGCGGCATATAAATCAAATTAAAAAAAATAATAATTTGGGAGAGCCAAATTAGTCTGTGATAGGAAGACAGATCAGGAGGAATCTGACAATATCTTTTTCCAAACAACATATTTTATTAAAAGACATACATTATGCAAGCTGTAACTTACCAGACTTCTGATTTGTAAAATGAAGGAATATAGATAGAAAAATGTCCCTTGACTCCAGCAAGTTCTCTCTCCTATCGGAACAGCAGAGAAAACAGCTTATTCTGAAGCTTCTTTCATTTTGCTAAGCAATATTTTTACATAATATATGCTTGGTTAGCCGTGTTAATACTATATTATTTTCTATTTCCCTGGGAGCATAAAGCAACATACAGGTAGTCCTTGACTTACGACTGCAACAGAACACAAAATTTCTGTTGCTAAGTGACAGTTATTAAGCGAATTTTGCCGTTTTACGAATATTCTTGGCCCAGTGGTTAAGTGAATCAAAATCAAATTAACAACATGGTTGTTAAGTGAATCTGGCTTCTGCATTCCCTTTGCTTATCAGAAGGTCGCAAAAGCGGATCACATGGCCCAGGGACACTGCCGCCGTCATAAATACAGGGCAGTTGCCAAGCATCTGAATTTTGATCACGTGATCATGGGAATGCTGCGACGGTCGTAAATGTGAAAAACGGTCCTAAGTCATTTTCTCCAGTGCCGTTGTAACTTTGAATGGTCACTAAACGAACTGTTTTAAGTTGAGGTTTACCTGTACACCGTATTCCTTTGATTTTTTTTTTCCAGAAGAACTCTGTGGTTTATGTAGGTCTGAAATATAATGTTGTAGGTTGCTATGAATCAACGTGTTTCAATGCACATTAGTTTTAATAATAATAGTGATTAGCAGGGTGGATTTGATTTAAATCGAGTTGATTTAAATCACAATTTAAATCATGATTTAAATCACTAGTAAAAAGGCTTGATTTAAATCAACTCGATTTAAATCATAATTTTTAAAGAGCAACTGTCATCTCTGCTACTCCTTTGACCCATTGTTGACTCACCGATAGTCCCAGTGTTGCAGAATATACAGCCTCATGCTACATAACTAAGCTCCATTTCATGCTGAATAAACTAAATTATTTATGTATCTTAAATAGAAAACTATCTTACGATAGATTTTTACCCCAAAAGTTTTTTATTAAAATAAATTCAATAAAAATCAAAAAAATCTGATTTAAATCAAAAAAATCCGATTTAAATCAAAAAAAATCTGAATTTTTTGATTTTTTAAAAAAATCATTGATTTTTATCCACCCTGGTGAGTAGCCCAGTGTTTCTCAACCTTGGTAGCTTGAAGATGGGTGGACTTCAACTCCCAGAATCCGGAATTCTGGGAGTTGAAGTCCACCCATCTTCAAGCTACCAAGGTTGAAAAACACTGGATTAGCCCAAAATGATCCTAAGAGTATTTATGGCTAAGAGTGATTTCAGAACAGAGTCTTCCCAGTCACAGGCCAATGCTAGGGACTATATAATGTGCAGGTAGTCCTTGAGTTACAACTTTAATGGAGCCTGCCCATCATGGTCATAACTCCTGACAGTCATAAAATAGACCGATCAGGCGACCAATCTGATTTTACTACCTTTTTTCAGCAGTCGTTAAGCATGATTTTAAAGACATCGTGGTCTTTAAGCGAATCTGTGGTCGTTAAGCAAATGCACCATTATTAAGCAACCCGATGGTTCGCTAACCATGGGCATGGTTTTGCTAAAAGCTGGGAATAAATGCTGGTTTTCAGCAAAACCATTGTAAAATGTGGTCATGTGCCGTGGGATTTGTGATAAATGTAGCCCAGTTTTCCGAGTGCCCCAAGTATGCTCACATAATGTTCTTGAATCAGAAGAGGTATAAAATATCTTTAATATATATATATATATAGCATAACAACGTTAGGATGAATAAGAAACAAGAATAAATTTATTTGATTGACAGCCAAAGACCAAAAGAAACTCTTTGTACTTAAATCAGAGAGTTTTGGCCAAAGAATCTATTAAAATAGAGTATAGAGTCAGTAAATATTTCTATTAAGGCAACCACACTATTAAAATATCAAAGGCCAGACATGCTTAGTCAGCAGTGGAAGCAAGGAGACAATGAAGGCCAGCTAGAGTGGCAGGGGCTATGGACTGCTGGGGACCAAAAGGGGACAGATGGGTGAAGGGATAGGCAGGTCGGAAGAATTGAAATGCCCCTCTGGTCATAAATGCAGGTGGGCTGCCCAGTGCCTGAATTTTGACCACTTGACTGCAAGGCAGTCTAGCTGCTGTAACTTGGGGACCGGTTTTAAATCCTTTCATTCACCATTGTAACTTCAAATGGTCACCGAACAAGCGGTTGTTAAGTTGATATAATGGAGTGGGTGGATGGCCTCTTGGGGAAAGAGGGGAAGACCTGCTGCCTGGGGAACAGTCAGATAAGAGGGAGCTGAGCCCACAGCTGCATGGCGGACAGATGAAAAGGTTCAGGAGCAGTGGTAGGATTCAAAAATTTTTATGGCCAGTTCTGTGGGCGTGGCTTGGTGGGCCATGGCATGGCCTGGTGGGCGAGGCTTGATGGGCATGGCAGGGGAAGGATACGGTAAAATCTCCATTCCCACCCCACTCCAGGGGAAGGATACTGCAAAATCCCCATTTCCTCCCGATCAGCTGATACTTGGGAGGCAGAGAATAGATGGGGGCGGGGCCAGCCAGAGGTGGTATTTACCGGTTCCCTGAACTACTCAAAATTTCCGCTACCTGTTCTCCAGAACTGGTCAGAACCTGCTGAAACCCACTTCTATTCAGGCGGGTCTCTCCCTAAATCATTGGGCTGCAAAGGTAACAGTGGGAGATTCGTACCTTCTGTACAAATTTAACAGTTTCTGCTTACCTATCTTTACAAGTGAAGTAGAATTAGTTCATCTAATCTTTCCTGCCTGGTTTACTTGACAGAGCTGACACTAGTCAAGCTACTCTAAAAGTACAAACTTCCAGCTATCGCTTTTAACCTGACTCCAACAACATTCATTGTAACTTTACCTGTACTTACATTAAGTACACCTGTACTTAAATTTACCTGTACTTACTTCGTTTATGTTTATGTTTATACCTGCTATCTTGTACATGTTTGACAAACAGATAAATAAATAAAAACTTTGAATAGTCACTGAACAAGTGTAGGTTAAACGACGGATTACCCATATAGTTTGGCATGGATGTGTACATCAGCTAATTATGGTTTATTCAATAAATCATGGTTAAATTCACTACCGTCTCTCTCTCTCTCTCTCTCTCACACACACACACACACACACACAGTGAGAGAGATATATCTCAATTAAAGAGTTTACATCATATCTTCTGTTCTGCCTCAAGCGAAAAAAGAAAAAGTGGTACAAATGCTCTTCATGACAGAAACCATAATTTAACCTAATTACTAACATAATTTAACCTAATTATTAACCTACGTTAAAATACATTTACTTACCATAATTTACAGAGATCAAATAAAAATGAATACAAAATATGAACATAAAAAACAAGGAACACAAAGGACCTGCAAAATAGGTCCTGTAACATTAAAAATTACAAGGTGTTCCTGATCTGGGATCTCTTCCAGCAACAACAAACATAATGCCTGCCAGAACACATGGGGAGAACAGGATGCAAAATACATGCAAAACCAGATAATGACTGGCCCCCGAGTGGGGAGGGAATGTGGATTTTGCAATATCCTTTCTCCAGGAGTGGGGAAGGGATTTTACAGTATCCTTCCCCTGGAATGGGATGGGAATGGGGATTTTGCAGTATCCTGTCGTTCGTGTGAAAAAAAAAACCGTCGTAAGTCCCTCTTTCCCCCCTCCCCAGGTTAATTTTGAAAGGTCATCAAGAGAACCTGTTGTAAGTCGAGGACGGGCTGTCCTCCTCCTCCTCCTCCTCCTCATGGGGTAACAGCCTGGGAGAGGAGTAGATCCTACTTTGGAGGCGCCCTGAGAATGGGGCCTACTTCCCGGGGCCATTGTGAAAAAGGGGAAGGGGGAGGGAAAGGCCCAAACCAGGAGTGGGCAAATGTGGCCCTTTTACTGTCTCAGGAATTCTGGGAGTTGAAGTCCACAGGTTGTAAAAGGGCCACATTTGCCGACCCCTGGCTCCAAGCCCACATCTGCGTCACGTGCTCCTCCCGCGCGCGCCCCTCCCTCCCAGGCCGCGCATTCGCCCTCCCATTGGCCAGGCAGCGGCCAATGGCGGAGGGGGTGGGGGCGAGCGGCCAAGATGGCTGCCGAGGGTCTTTGGCTGCTGCTGCTTCTCTCTTGCCGCGGCTCTTCAACACGGAGCGCCGCCGGGCCGCGCTATTCCCCCGACTGGTCCAGCCTGGATGCGCGGCCCCTGCCCGGCTGGTTCGACGCGGCCAAAGTCGGGATTTTCGTGCATTGGGGGGTCTTCTCGGTGCCCGCCTGGGGCTCGGAGTGGTTCTGGTGGCACTGGAAGGGCGAGCTCCAGCCCGACTACCAGCGCTTCGTCCGCCTGCACTTCCCTCCGGGCACCTCCTACGCCGACTTCGCCCCGCGCTTCTCCGCCGTCGACTTCGAACCGGAAAAGTGGGCGCAGCTCTTCCAGGACGCCGGGGCCAGGTCAGCCCCGCCAGCCACTGGGGTAGCCGGTACCTCCTCGCCACCCCCAGCCGGATCCCATCTCCCATCATTCCCGGCCATGGGATCCTCGGGGTAGTGAGGGGTAGGAGAGGGAATCCCAAGGCCTGCCGCAGAGGATACCGCAAATCGGATTATTATTATTGTTGTTATTACTATTGTGGTTATTGTTATTATAGTTATTGTTATTATTATTATAGTTATTGTTATTATTGTTATTATAGTTATTGTTATTGTTATTATTCATTAAACATGAAACTCAGTCAACTGAACATTCAAAAATGCATCACAAATACCATTGACTGGTGCTAATGATTGATACGGGTTGCTGCCAGCGTCCTAGGTATCAACCAAGTACCTTCTTAAAATATACGATGCTCCGAGTAGTGCAGTTTTTTGCAATTCCGCTGTTGTTATTGCAGGAAGCTTATTATTGTCATTTTTGCAAACCATGAATAATGTGGTATACCCTGTTCCAAATTGCTGTTTATTTTCAAGCTTTCTTGGGAATTCTTGAACGATTCTGTCCTTTTTAGGCCTGTTTAGGGAGAATTTATGGTGCAAATTATCCTGCGTTTGCAATACCAGGATATGATGTCATCGCAGTCTCTCTCCCATGGTGCTCTGCTTAATTTACTTTAGTTTTCTTTTAAGATCTGCCAAGGTTGATTAAAGTTCTTCTAGCAGCTGGATACTGAAACTATAGGGAATTGAAAATGGACTCTTGGCTTTTCTTGCTGTGAAGCATTAAGGCAGAAATAGTGCAGTATAAATAAGATCCATAATGGTGAGCCCCGAAATTATAATTGGCATGGCTAAAAACAATTGTGTAAAGCTCAGAGAAAAAGCTGTACACTGCCTTGATTTGCAACACTATGTGGGATCACTGGTTAAGAGGAGGGGTAAGTATAAAGAGACATGCCAGCATGGAGTGGTTTCCTGGGAGGAAATATCATAGGCTAGAGTCTTCACTGGTTTCCAAGGGAATGCAGCCAGTTTGGCAAGATCAATGCGAGATGCAAGGAACAAGAACAACTTTGTCAATAGGCTACAGTAGTTTCTTTATTGTTGATCACCTGTTTTAAAGAATCTGGCCAGACCGACTGCATTCCCTTAGGAACCAGTAGATAAGGCTTCACTAGTCTGGCCTATGAACGTTTTCTCCCACAGAGAGACTCCATGCTGGCACAGCTCTTTACTCACTCCCCCTTCTCCTTTAGCTGGTGATTCCACCACAGATACATAGTGTGCACAATTTTTAGGGCACGAGTGTTACTTATTTAAGCAGCAAAGATGGAAATTTCGTGTCTAAAATCAGACTTCAAAGTCTCAGAGGAAAAAGAACACAAGAGCAAGATAGCCTATTTAGCTATATTTAACACAGGATGAGTTCCCAGCTATTTTACACAAGAGAGAGGGAGTGTCAACCCACCAGTCTCAGGGAAGCAGCCACAAATTATATATAAAGGTGATAGGTAGTAAACATACATGAAAACAAAATTCAAAAGAGCCTTGGTAGCACAGCAGACTAAAGCACTGTTAAGTAACACCAGCTGCCCGCAATTACCGTGAGTTCAAATCTCACCAGGCTCAAGGTTGACTCAGCCTGCCATCCTTCCGAGGTAGGTAAAATAAGGACCCAGATTGTGGGGGCAATAAGCTGACTTTGTATAAAAAAAGAACACCGCTTAGGGCAGTGTTTCCCAAACTTGACCCTTTGAAGATGTATGAACTTCAACTCCCAGAATTCCTCAACCAGGCATACTATTCCTCAACCAGGCATACTGGCTGGGGAATTCTGGGAGTTGAAGTCCATGCATCTTAAAATAGCCAAGTTTGGGAAACACTGGCTTAGGGGGCCCCCAAAAGCCCTACTAAGCAGGTATATACAAAAGTATGAAGGCTATTGCTTAATGCATTGTAAACCGCCCTGAGACTCTGGAGAAGGGCGGCATATAAATCGAACCAATAAATAAATAAATAAAATTGCAAGGAAATTGTTAAACCAACAGGACATGCAATGCAAGAAAACTGTCAGAACAATGAGACAGAGATACAGAAAATAAGCTAATTTCAGAGTCCTACCAATGCCAGTAGAGAAAAAACTACAAGACTGAAAAGCATTCCAATATGCCCATCGGTGCCCCAAGCCAGCTGGCAAAACCAAGATATTTTAAGGTCTTTCTGGAATGCCAGAAGGGTGTGGGCAAATCTCACCTCCAGCATCAGAATATTCAACAGGACAGGAATAGATATAATAATATAATAGCCATATAATAATATCTATTCCCAAGCATCAATTATTCTGTACAGAATAAGGTTTTGCAAAGGTCTCTACATCTGGTGGAACTCCATAGGGTGGAGCACACTAGGCTAAAAACCCTCAGCATTCCATATTTTTGGTATATCCTTAATCATATTCATGTTTTTAACGTACCTCTTTTCCCATATTCACCTTATAAATGCTAAACACTGGTGAAATGTCAAAAGAGGATGAAGTTCCTTCTAATTCTTTGTCTTTGGTTCTTACAGGTATGTGGTGTTTACGTCTAAGCATCATGAAGGCTTCACCAACTGGGGATCGAAAGTGTCCTGGAACTGGAATTCAGTGGATACTGGTCCCCATCGTGACCTGGTTGGTGAATTAGGAGAGGCTGTCCGAAAAAGGTATCGATCTGATTTTAAAGGGGGAGTCAGGATGATGCAGGAAAAAAGTAGGTTTACTAATTAGCTAATAACTTTTATTTTGTTTAATCTTAGAAACATATCCTTTGGACTGTATCACTCCCTTTTTGAATGGTTTCATCCGTTGTATTTACTGGACAAAAATAATAGCTTCAAGAGCCAGTTTTTTGTCTCTGAGAAGACTCTTCCAGAACTCTCTGAACTTGTTTTAAGGTAAGAGCCAAACATTTTTGGAGTATGAAATAATAGAGAATATTTGTAGCTCAGGTTGTAGATTCCTCTTCTGTTTATATACTGTATTTTTTTCAGAGTATAAGATGCACCTTTCCCCCCTCCCCCCCAAAAAGGGTGAAAATCTGGGTGCGTCTTATACTCTGAATGTAGCCCCGCCCAGCTTCTCAAACGGAGGTTTCAGAGGTTGAAAAAAGCATCAGAAACGAAGTTTCAGAAAAAAAGCCCCCAAACAGAGCTTCAGAAAAAAGCCTCCAAACAGAGCTTCAGAAAAAAAGCCCCCAAACAGCTCTCTTTGGGGGCTTTTTTTCTGAAGCTCTGTTTCAGAGGCTTTCAGAGGCAGGAAAAAAAGTTTTTTCTGAAACACAGTTTCAGAAGTTTCAGAGGCACGAAAAAAACCCAAAAAAAGCAAGGCACAGAGCTCACAACCAAGGAACCTGTTGCTAAAATTCACCTCTGGGAACAGCTGATTGGGGGTATTCCGGGAGGTTGATCCACCTGCCACTCAGCTTTTTTCTTATTTTCCTCCCCAAAAACTAAGGTGCGTCTTATACTCCGAAAAATACGGTAGGTCAGTGATGGCTAACCTTTTACGTCATTGCGTGCCGACTGCGTGCCTGAAATGGCATGCAAAACCATCCCGCCTGGATTGCTGGCCTTGTTGGCCTTTGCAGGCCAAAACCTGGAAGAGGAGCATTCTGTTGTGTATATGCACACCGGCACACAAATTTCCGGTTTCCGGTGTGGAGGCACGCCTGACGAACAGCATGTGCGATGGAAACCCGGAATTTCAGGTGCTCTTCCGGGTTTTGCCGCCCCCCCCGCATGGATGAAGGCCATCTGACCGGCACATGTGTATGCACAAGAACACGGAAGAGGAGCCAGCGAGGCTGCACAGCCCACGCAGGATGGTTCTGCCTGTCACTTCCGGCACGCGTTCCATAGGTTCACCAACACAGATATAGGTCTTGTGTGTTGTTGTGGTCAATTGGTCATGTGACTGATTATTTGAATTCAACTGGCAGTCAAGAGGCATGACCAGAAGTCCCTAATCTCCAGCCACATTCACAAGGGACAACGCCAGTTTGATTGGGACAAAGCCAAAGTCATTGAGCACGGCAAAATCACAAAATTATTCTGCCAAAATGCACACAAATTCATTGAAGCCTGTTACACTACAAATGGATCCATCAATAACACATTTGACTTAGAACCAGCATATGAACCTATAAGAAACCGGACCATCCATACAACCAATCAATGACAGAACCAACCACCTCCTCACCAGTTGAATTTCGCACTACCCAAACAAACCAGTCACAGAACCCACAAAGCACAAGACCTGAATATCGTATTTTTTGGAGTATAGGACACACCTTTTTCCCCCCTAAAAGGCGGTGAAAATTTAGGTGCATTTTATACATCGAATGTAGCCCCACCCACCCACTGGCCCCCACCCTTTGCCTCCCAGCAATTTACTTCCTTGCAGCAAACAGCAAGAAAAAACAGCTCCTTTCAGCTTCAACACAGGCTAATTAGCACAAGTTGTTTGGATTGGCCTCCCAACTCTCAGCTGATTTGCTCTCAGCTGTTTTGCTCAGGGCTCTGCTGCTTGCTGCAAAGAGGTAAATTGCTGGAGCAGATTTTTTTTTTCCTTGTGCTAATCAAGCTATGCTGAAAACGAAAATGAAAGTAAAGCAGGCTGTTTGCTGTTTGCTGCAATGAGGCAAAATTGCTCAGAGGCAGAGAGAGATTTCTTTTTCTTCTTTTCCTCACAAAAAAAGGTAGGTGCGTCTTATACTCCGGTGCGTCTTATACTCTGAAAAATACGGTAAATAGAAGTTGGGTGAAACAGTTCACTCAAAATCCCGCTGAAGATTTTACCTAGTCCAGGAGCTAAACTACAAGCTCGAACAAACCAAACTTTTTGGACTGTTTAGATCAGGGGTCTCCAACCTTGGCAACTTTTAAGACTTGTGGACTACAACTCCAGAGTTCCTCAGCCAGCAAAGCTCCTGGGGGCTGGGGAGGGCAAAAACATGGTGCGTGGGAGGTTGGGATGCCAAAAACGGCCCTGTTTTTCTTGAAAACGGGGGCATTTTTTGCAAAAACAGCGTTTTTGCCTCCTCAGTCCCCAGGAGCACTCTGCAGGCCTCCCAAACCCTCCGCAGGCCCCGTTTTTCACAAAAACGGGACGCACAGAGGGTTTGGGAGGCCAGTAACAGTAACAGAGTTGGAAAGGACCTTGGAGGCCTGCAGAGTGCTCCTGGGGACTGGGGAGGGCAAAAACTGTGGTTTTTTTTCTTGTTTACCACTTTGAAATCTTGGTGCGTCTTATACTCCGGTGCATCTTATAGTCTGAAAAATACGGGAATTAAGATTGCAGAGCTGAGCTAAGGTGCCTTTAACATTTTTCAGGGAAGCTGCAGCCTGTGCAGCAAAGAAAAGCCGTTTAGGAAGAGAGAGCTTGTCCAAGCAGCCTCTCTCTCTCCTCTGCAAGGGAGGAAATTCTATGAAGGGGAAAAAGAAGAAAATACAAAAAAATACGAGTCGTTAAAATACAAAAAAATACAACCCTAACCTTAACCCCGAGGCACAAAATAATACCCCATCTCTATTGCTCTATATAATATCAACCTTCTGGCCACCCTCCCTGTCTCTCCCTCCTCCTCTACCCCCAACATTTTTTGTACAAAATAGTGATCTATACACAGGTAGTCTTTAAGTAAAACGATCCCTACATAAAGCCACCAACTGTGCTTGTGATCTTACTTCAGCTTTGCTTTGCAGACCCTCAAAAGGCCATAAGGATGGTCTTAAAAATGACTTTCCATCACCATTGTAATAGCAAATGTGCTGCTAAATGAGGCACTTGCTAAACTAGAACTTCTTGTACATATAATATAGAAATATAAGCTGCTGTTGTTGTTAGTCACGAAGTTGTATGCGACCCATTGCAACCCCATGGACAACGTTCCTCCAGGCCTTCCTGTCCTCTACGATCCTCTGGAGTCCATTTAAGCTCACGCCGACTGCTTCAGTGACTCCATCCAGCCACCTTGTTCTCCGTCGTCCCCTTCTTCTTTTGCCCTCAATCTTTCCCAGCATTAGGCTCTTCTCCAGTGAGTCCTTCCTTCTCATTAGGTGGCCAAAGTATTTGAGTTTCATCTTCAGGATCTGGCCTTCTAAAGAGCAGTCAGGGTTGATCTCCTCTAGGACTGACCGGTTTGATCGCCTTGCAGTCCAAGGGACTCGCAGGAGTCTTCTCCAGCACCAGAGTTCAAAGGCCTCAATTCTTTGCCGCTCAGCCTTCCTTATGGTCCAACTTTCACAGCCATCCATTGCAACTGGGAAAACCATAGCTTTGACGACATGCACTTTTGTTGGGAAGAGTGATGTCTCTGCTTTTTAGTATGCTGTCTAGATTTGCCATCAGCTGTTGTATTTCGTTAATTAATTACAGTGATGTCATCATGGAGAAATCAAAAGGCTCAGCAGGATGATCCAAAACAGGTAGTCCTCGACAGTGGGTTGAAGTTACAATAGCACTGAAAAAGTGACTTCTGATCATTTTTCACACTTAACGTTCATTGCAGCATCCCCGTGGTCACATGATCAAAATGTGGACACTTGGGAACTGGCTTGTATTTATGACGATTGCAGTCTCCCGGGGTCATGCAATCACCTTTTGCAACCTACCAACAAGGAAGCCAGATTCACTTAGCAACTGTGTTAGTAATGTAACAGCTGCAGTGATTCACTTAACAACTCTGGCAAGAAAGGTCATACAATGGGTCAAAAATCATTTGACAAATGTCTCGCTTAACAACAGAAATGTTGGGCTCAATGGTGGTCATAAGTCAAGAATGCAGCCGTTAAAACCTCTTGATTTTATCACTTGTCTGTTTAGGTACAAGCCGGATCTCATTTGGTCGGATGGCGATTGGGAAGCTCCAGATACGTATTGGAATTCAACTTCCTTCCTTGCCTGGCTATACAATGATAGCCCAGTTAAGGTATCTGCACTTGCAGGTGTTTGGACCTGGAGGCTGTTCTCCTGTTTGCTTAGACTAAGAGGGAACCATTAAAATGACTTCTGATCCTTGGGTCCTTTGCACCTGGTCACATCCAAAATGAAACTTTGGCCTCACTTTCCTGGTCCTGCGGGGAGAGGTAACCTGGTGTTACTGGAGGGTTCATAGGTTGGGCACCTCAAGAGCAGTGGTGAAATCCAAATTTTTTTACTACCGGTTCTGTGGCCTTAGCTTGGTGGGCGTGGCTTGGTAGGCGTGGCAGGGGAAGTATACTGCAAAATCCCCATTCTCTCCCCACTCCTGGAGGAAGGATATTTCAAAATCCCCATTCCCACCTCACTCCTGGGGGAAGGATACTGCAAAATCCCCATTCCTTCCCCGCTCCTGGGGAAAGCATATTGCAAAATCTCCATTCCCACCCCACTCCTGGGGGAAGGATACTGCAAAATCCCCATTCCCTCCCCCCTCCTGGGGGAAGGATATTGCAAAATCTCCATTCCCACCCCACTCTGGGGCCAGCCAGAGGTGGTATTTACCAGTTCTCCAAACTACTCAAAATTTCCGCTACCGGTTCTCCAGAACCTGTCAGAGCCTGCTGGATTTCACTCCTGCTCAAGAGGTCAGAAGTGCAAAAAGTTCCTATCCTACATATTACAAAGAAATGTGGAGAGAACCTAGCTACACTTAGTAGTTCTAGGTGTAGAAAGTTTAAGACTGTAGAAGGAGAGCGATGGGAGGTGCCAGCAGCATCAAGAACCAACCTTGGAGTGCAACCTGGAGGGGAGACTTATCAACCAATTGGCCTATTCTTGTGCCTTTGCTCTCAATCAAATTGTGAGACTGTTTGGAGCTATATCATAGTAAGGCTTAATATTTTGATAAGAGAGCAGAGGAAATCTTAGTTAATCTGTATGACTCAGCCTTCCATCCTTCCGAGGTGGGTAAACTGAGGACCCAGATTGTTGGGGGCAATAGGCTAACTCTGTAAACCGCTTAGAGAGGGCTGTGAAGTACTGTGAAGCAGTATATAAGTCTAAGTGATATTGCTTGCTTGCTTCCTTCCTTCCTTCCTCCCCTCCCTCCCTCCCCTTCCCTTCCCTTCCCTTCCCTTCCCTTCCCTTCCCTTCCCTTCCACCCATCCATCCATGGTGCACAGTGGTTAGAATGCAGTATTGCAGGCTAATTCTGCCCACTGCCAGCAGTTCAATCCTAACCGGCTCAAGGTTGACTCAGCCTTCCATCCTTCCGAGGTGGGTAAAATGAGGGCCCAGATTGTTGGGGCCCATATGCTGACTCTGTAAACTGCTTAGAGAGGGCTGTAAAAAGCACTATTTTCATTTTCATTTTTTTTTTTTTCATTTTATTAAATTTGTATACCGCCCTACTCCCAAAGCGGTATATAAGTCTAAGTGCAATTCCTAATGTAGATGAACTGGGATTTTCAGAATCCCTCCCCAGGCTGACTGGGGCTGCTGAGAATTGCAATTGATTGGTATTTGGAGGCTGCTTCCGCCCCTTTAGTTGCCTTCCCTTGATTTTGACTGACCCATCCATGGTTGAAGAGCTCAGACGGACTAACATTGTGTGAGTCGGCCCACTTTGAAGGTCCTGGTAAAGTCCTTGTTTTACTCTTTAAAAAGACAGTCATGCAACCCAGCAACTTCAAAGGTTTCTTCTGGATTTCTCTTTCCAGGATACGGTGGTGGTGAACGATCGATGGGGCATCAATTGCTCCTGCAGACATGGGGGCTACTACAACTGCCAGGATAAATTCGAGCCCGGCTCTCTGCCAGACCACAAGTGGGAGATGTGCAGCTCTGTTGACAAAAGGTCCTGGGGGTATCGCAGCAACATGCAAATTTTTGAAGTCATGAATGAGTTCACCATTATTCAGGTAAGCTCTGGGAAGGGTAAGCAAAGCTTGAGGGGATGCCCAGTTCAGTGGAAGCTAAAAAGAGCTGCTGGAGCTGCAACAATACCATTAACTTATGCAGGTAGTCCAGAGGTGGGTTTCAGCAGGTTCTGACCAGTTCTGGAGAACCGGTAGCGGAAATTTTGAGTAGTTCGGAGAACCGGTAGTAAAAATTCTGACTGGCCCCACCCCCATCTATTCTCTGCCTCCCAAATCCCAGCTGATCGGGAGGGAATGGGGATTTTGCAGTATCCTTCCCCTGGATTGGGGACGGAATGGAGATTTCACAGTATCCTTCCCCTGGAGTGAGGCAGGAATGAAGATTTTACAGTATCCTTCCCCAGGAATGGGAGGGAATGGGGATTTTGCAGTATCCTTCCCCAGGAGTGGGGAGGGAATGGAAATTTCACAGTATCCTTCCCCAGGAGTGGGGAGGGAATGCGGGTTTTGCAGTATCCTTCCCCAGGAGTGGGAAGGGAATGCGGATTTTACAATATCTTTCCCCAGGAGTGGGGAGGGAATGCGGATTTTACAATATCCTTCCCCAGGAGTGGGGAGGGAATGGGGAATGGGGATTTTACAGTATCCTTCCCCAGGAGTGGGGAGGGAATGGGGATTTTGCAGTATCCTTCCCCCAGGTGTGGAGAAGGGATGGGGATTTTACAGTAACCTCAAGGTCGACTCAGCCTTCCATCCTTTCTAAGGTGGGTAAAATGAGGACCCGGTTTGTGGGGGCAATAAGCTGACTTTGTATAACATACAAAAGTATGAAGGCTATTACTTAACGCATTGTAAGCCGCCCTGAGTCTCTGGAGAAGGGCGGCATATAAAAATAAATAAAAATAAAAATAAAAAAATAAAATCCTTCCCCTGGAGTGGGGAGGGAATGGAGATTTTACAGTATCCTTCCCCTGCCACGCCCACCAAGCCATGCCACTCCCATCAAGCCACACCCACAGAACCGGTAGTAAAAAAATTTTGAAACCCACCACTGAGGTAGTTCTCAATTTACGACTGCAAATGAGCCCAAAATTTCTGTTGCGAAGTGAGACATTTGTTAAGTGAATTTAGCCCCACTTTATGACCTTTCTTGCCTCAGTAGTTAAAGTGAATCACTTGGATAAGTTAATAACCCGGTTGTTAAGTGAATTCAGCATCCCCATTGACTTTGCTTGTCAGGAGGTCGCAAAAGGGGATCATGTGATTTTGGGACACAGCAACGGTCATAAATAGGAGTCAGTTGCCAAGCATCTGAATTTTGATCGCATGATGAGAGGGGATGCTGGAAAGGTCGCAACTGTGAAAAACGGTCATAACTCACTTTTTTCAGTGCCATTCTAACGTTGAACGGTCACTAAACGAATTGGTGTAAGTCAAGGGCTACCTGTATCACTTCCTAGTCCTTCGCAGCCCTCTCTAAACGGTTTAAAGAGTCAGCATATTTCCCCCCAACCATCTGGGTCCTCATCGACCTCAGAAGGACGGAAGGCTGAGTCAAACTTGAGCCGATCAAGATCGAACTCCAGGCTGTGGGCAGAGTTTGCTTGCAATACTGCAATACTCTCCACGTTTGTATCCAAGAGAATTGGGTGAGATTGCAGTTCCCACAGGGGTCTACCTTCCACTTCAGGGACAGGCTTTTATTTATTAGATTTTTATCCTGTATTTATTACTTTATAAGTCACTCCAGGCCATGAATGTATGCAATGCGCCTTTTTCCCCTCAACAACAACCCTGAGAAGTAGGTCGGGCTGAGAGAGAGGGACTGACCTAGGATACCCAGCCAGTTTTCCAGGCCTGAGGCCCTCACTGTCTCCTGGTTTCCAGCCTGGTGCCTTAATCACTAGAACAGGGGTCTGCAACCTTAAACACTCAAAGAGCCATTTGGACCTGTTTCCCACAGAAAAGAAAACACCAGGAGCCACAAAACCCTTCCTGTGCCTGACTATTTCTTGAGTGGTCACAAAACTAGCATCTGTCATTGAATTAAATGTTCTGTTTTCTTCTGAAACTTTTCTTTTCTTGGATTTATCCGCGGTTGGCCTACCAGGGGTTGAAAAGCTCAATAAATCGCGTGCTGGCAGGTGTCGCACATTGGCGGTTGTGACACACACATTTTGAGTGACAGGGAGCCGCAGCAGAGGGGTGAAAGAGCCACATGCGGCTCCAGAGTCGCAGGTGGCTGACCCCTACACTAGACCAAACTAGCTCAAATTGAAAAGGTGAACGAACAACTGAGCAAACCTAGGCGGCCTGATGGAGAGGTGTCAATTCCTGCAACTGATATGCTAGTAAAGCAAAGGACAGGAATTTTCTACAGATTTCCCCCAGATAATCTGCAGCCTCCTGGTGTTCCTTTCCACTCAAATGGCCAGAGCTGGCTTGCTGCCTTGACCTCCATTTTGTGTGTGTGCTTGCTCCATTTTGTGTATGTGCTTGTGTGTGTGAGTTGATCTCGTCTTGCACAGTCTCAAAAGTACAAAGAAAATCACAACAATGAATATAAAAATGGGATTTTATTAGGCCTTTGAAAGCGGGAATGGTTTCCAGGAATTGCTGGGCCTTTCCTGCAATTGTTAGGCCTTTGAAAGCAGGATAGGATTCCAGGAATACGTAAATGCAACTAAATTATCTTTAATTATAATTATTATTATTATCTCTTCATTATTAAGACACCAGGGGCCGTTTCAGTATATGATGATTAAAGCATTTCAAAATCAGTACTATAAAGTACCCTTCAGCTTAAATTGACTCACATATGCAGTTTATTGTTCTTTTTAGATCTGGATTAGAAAACCCCTTGGGATGAATGAATCTATAGTTTACAGTGGCATTGCTTAACAACCAGTTGCTTGCTTAACGACTGGTTGCTTGTTTAATGGTCGAAGTTGGTTCAAAGACCATCCCAAAAAGATACGAATTAACTCAGATTCGAAGCATTGGTGACTGGCCCACATTTACAGCGATTTGCAGTGGACACGTCAATGTACAATGTCTTTTTGCTGGACACTATCATTTACTTCCGGTTTCTAGCAAAAAAAATGCCCGTTGCAAGCAATGTGTTCTCTTAAGGACCGCCGCCTTCATTTAATGGCCACCACTAAAAATATCCTAAAATCAAATCAGTTTGATTTGTTGATCTGTTTAACGAGCAGGATGACGTACAGCCATAATTCGGTGCTCAGTTGTGATCATAAGTGTTAACTTGTAGGCACTTCCTTTGGTATCCACCAGGTTCCCCATGTGACTTAATTTAATTTAATTTAATATTTAAATTTATATACCGCCCTTCTCCCGAAGGACTCAGGGCGGTGAACAGCCAGAAGTAAAAAACATAAAATACAAAATTTAAAAACAATCTAAAAATAAATTAAACATTTTAGCCCGACAGTTAAAATCCCCCATTAAAAATCCAAATTAAAATACACAATTAGAGAGATTAGGCCAGCCCGACTTGATGAAATAAAAAGGTTTTGAGGGCCCGACAGAAAGTACGTAAGTCCGGAATCATCCGTATCTCCGGGAGGAGCTCGTTCCAGAGGGCAGGTGCTTCCACAGAGAAAGCTCTCCCCCTGGGGGCTGCCAGTCGGCATTGTTTGGCCGACGGCACCCGGAGGAGCCCCTCTCTGTGGGAGCGTACTGGCCGGTGGGAGGCTCTCGGTGGCAGAAGGCGGTCCCGTAAATATCCAGGCCCTAAGCCATGGAGCGCTCTAAAGGTGGTGACCAACACCTTGAATCGTACCCGGAGGACCACCGGTAGCCAGTGCAGCTCACACAGGAGAGGTGTTACATGGGAGCGCCATGACGCTCCCATAATCACCCACGTGGCCGCATTCTGGACCAGTTGGAGCCTCCGGGTGCTCTTCAAGGGGAGCCCCATGTAGAGAGCATTGCAGTAGTCCAGGCGGGAAGTGACTAGGGCATGAGTGACCATGCGTAAGGAGTCCTGATCCAGAAAGGGACGCAACTGGCGAATCAGGCGAACCTGATAAAAAGCCCCCCTGGCCACGGCCGTCATATGCTCTTCTAAAGACAGCCGTGCATCCAGGAGGACACCCAAGTTGCGAGCCCTCTCTGTTGATTTACTGTTTTCTTCCCCCGTAGAATACTCCTGATACTCTTACTAGAAGAATTTACTTTCTTCTAGTAAAGTAAAGAATTTACTTTATTAATAAAAATAAAGGAGCAAACCCCCCCCCAACAATCTCTAGTATTACTTCCTAGAACCATGATGGCGAACCTATGGCATGTGTGCCAGACGTGGCACGCAGCGCCCTCTCTGATGGCACGCGAGCCGTCGCCCCAGTTCAGCTCCACCGCGCATGCACGCGTGCCTCCTGCCGGCCAGCTGGTCGTTGGGTCTCTGCCACGTATCTGCGGAAGGCAGGGTGCATGGCATGTGCAGGAGTGGGGCAGGTGCAAGGGGCACGCTCACATGTGCGGGAGCATGTACGGGGGGGCGCACGCACGTTGCATTTGGGGGGTTCGGGCGCTTTGGGCACTCAGTCTGGAAAAGGTTAGCCATCCCTGTCCTAGAACGTCTCTGATCCCATACAGGGTGTTCATGGGCCTTCTTAGAAAATATGAATCGGGGTGAAATGTAAAATTTGTTACTACCGGTTCTGTGGGCATGGCTTGGTGGGGGGATGTAATGTGGCTGGGTGGGTGTGGCCAACTTTTTTTTTTTTTTAACTTTTCAAAGCATTTTTTCTAATGCTTTGAAAAGCCTCTGCCGATCAGGCAACTCAGCTGGGATCGTCAGAGACTTTTCAAAGCATTTTTTTTACCACCTCTTGTGCCAAGAGGTTGCAGAAAAAAATGCTTTGAAAAGCCTCTGAGGATCCCAGCTGAGCCGCACGATCGTCAGAGGCTTTTTTTTTTTTTTACTTTTAAAAGCATTTTTTCATCGGAAGAGGTTGTAGAAAAAATGCTTTTAAAAGTAAAAAAAAAAAAAAAAAAGCCTCTGATGATCGTGCAGCTCAGCTGGGCATGGGGGGAGGGGAGCAGGGATTTTTGCTACCGGTTCTCCGAACCACCCGCCGCCATCGCTACCGTATCGGGCGATCCGGTCCGAACCAGGAGCATTTCACCCCTGATATAAATGATGGGAGACTGCTTCCCAGTCTTTAAAACTTTACTTTCCCCCCCCCTCCCCATGCTATCCTCAACCCCCCCCCTTCCCCAAAGACAATATGGGAAGAAAGAGTTTAGGAACATGAGAAGATGGAAGCGAGCCACTCCCACTACCAATTTCCCAATCAATCAATCAATCCTTTGGCAGAAGTTCTGAGCTATGCAGATGCTTTCATGGCAGCGTACCCAATGTTTTCCAAAGCATGGAATTCCACCAGACGAAAAGCATTGCTATAAAGCAGGGGTCTCCAACCTTGGCAACTTTAAGCCTGGTGGACTTCAAGTTGAAGTCCGCCAGGCTTAAAGTTGCCAAAATTGGAGACCCTTGCTGTAAAGAGTTTAAAATACATTTTTGTTCTCTTTCTACTTTCGTCATAGCAACTGGTACGTACTATCAGTTACGGAGGGAATTACCTTCTCAATGTGGGGCCCACCAAAGAAGGACAGATTGCTCCAATCTTCCAAGAGAGGCTCCTGGCCCTTGGCACGTGGCTGAAGGTGAACGGGGAGGCCATATACGAATCCAGGCCTTGGAGGACCCAGAAGGAGAACCGCAGTGAGGAGACCTGGTAAGGCAAAGTTCGTTGAGACAGACTCTTGGCTGCACTGAACAGAACAGAACAGAATAAGAGAGTTGGAAGGGACTTTGTAGGTCATTTAGTCCAACCCCCCCACCCAAGCAGGAGACCCTACCCCATTTCTGTCAGATGGCAGTCCAGTCTCTTCTTGAAAGCTTCCAGTGATAAAGCTCCCACAACTTCCAAAGTCAACTTCTGTTCCCTGGGTTGATTGTTCTCGCTGTCAGAAAATTTATCCTTATTGCTAGGTTGAATTGCATTGTCTCTAACACTTCTACGAGCAAAAATTTGGCTTTACAGGTAGTCCTCGGCTTACGACCACAATTGAGCCCAAGATTTCCATTGCTAAGCGAGACAGTTACTAAGTATATTTTGCTCCCATTTTACGACATTTCCTGCCACAGGTGTTAAGTGAACCACTTCAATTGTTAATTTAATAATCTGTTATTAAGGGAATCTTGAATTCCTCCTTGACTATGTTTGTCAGAAAGTTGCAAAAGGGGATCAGGGGAACCTGAGACACTGCGACCATCATAAATACGTGCCAGTTGCCAACCACCTGAATTTTGATCACGTGATGCTGCAGTGGTTGCAAGTGTAGAAAACGGTCATGCTGTTTCACTTTTTTCAGAGCTGTTGTAACTTTGAACAGTCACTAAACGAAATGTGCTGTTGTGGTTCGCCAGCAGCCTGCGGAGCTGGCAGCGGAGTCGGAAAGTGAGGAATCTGGGGAGCAACATGGGCCAGTCCTGGAGTCTGGGGAAGGCCCGGACGAGGGCTCTGCATCAGAGGCAGAGATGGGGCCAGGGCCATCTGGGAGTTATGTGCGGACTCCGGAGCCTCCAAAGTCGGACATCAGAGAGGCAGAGGAACAGGAGGAGCTTGTTCCTAGTGCACGCATGCGCAGAGCTGCCAGAAGGCACGAACAGTTAAAACAAAAGGGACGACTCAGGAGTAAGGGCTGGATATGATTGGTCCCTCCCATAAGGTTTAAAAGAGGAGCAAAGGCATGTAGGCCCTTTGCAGGAAAGCAACGTTGTTAATTCTGTTCCCAGTCGGCATCTCTCTTTGATTCTGGACTCTGTGTGGCTTTGCCAAGTAGGTCTTTGGCAGTGTCAATGGAAATAAAGGTTGGTGATTATCCCGAAGGACTTCTCCCGAAAGACTTTTTACAACTAATTGGGACTCAGCTGTGAATGAACGTAATTCACAGCTATTGCAGTAAAAGAGGTTTTTGGGACTACTCCTGTATTTTTAATGATGACAACATGTGCAGTCAATCACTGCCTGTATCTGCTTAGAAACAAGAGGAGGTGTCATCAGATACACAAATGTTGAAATTCTAAGCAAGTTTCTGTAACTTTCTGGCTGGAGATTAGATCTTCTTCAGGAGATTGATATGATTACAGGGAGTCTTCTATTTTTCGAAGTTATGATGGACCTCTGTAGGGGGTGGGTGGGGGAGACATTCCAGATTCAAAGTTCCATCTCCCCCCTACAATCACACGACCTCACTTAGCCTCATCCTGCGCTCATGTGACCAAAGCTTACGAAGTTTTTGGTGAAAACAGGAATTTTCTTACCGTTTTCAGCTTAACAACTGCAGTTTCACTTTACAACTGCAGTGATTCATTTAACAACCACTGCAGAAAAGCTTGTGAAATCTGATCCGTCACGTGGGTTGACCTGCTTTAGAACCATCCCAAGTTACGACCGTGATAGGCAGACTCCATTAAGGTCGTAACTCAAGGACTACCTGTACACACTTTTACCTTAGAAGTGGGCATGTTTTTGCCTCTCTTTTGGGGGCGGGGGGTTACACTATGAATATTCAGAAAAAATCGCTGAAAGAATAGTCATCAAGCTTCTCAGTTAAAGTTTAAATGTGTATTATTTTTACTGAGGTAGTAGACAACAACTTTTGCAAGAAGCTGCATGTGATTTGAAGATCCGGGGGGAAAAAATCTGGTTAAATACAGATAACTAGTGTAAATTCAGTTGACTGAGCATTAGAGCCCCCTCCCCTCTTTTACTGTTCACAGTCCATGAATATTTGTTTTCAAAATTGGCTTTTTGTACTGTTTTGTGCTACTTTGGACTTAGTGACTGGGACGTGCCTAGATTAAAACCTTTTGCAACTGCTGTTCGAAGGACTCTCTTAATACCCCTCTCCGTGCTCAAAAATAATTAAACTTTAGGCTTTGTTTATTTTAGTTGACTTGCTAGTGCTTTGATGGATCTGTGGAAGGTAAGAGAAAGATGGTAGGATTTCATATGAAAACTTTTTATTTATTTGTCAAGCATGTATAAGATAACATATACCGTATTTTTCAGAGTATAAGACGCACCTTTTTCTTCTCTAAAAGGGGGTGAAAATTTGGGTGTGTCTTATACACCGAATGTAGCCCCGCCCACCCACTGGCCCCCACCCTTTGGCTTCTGCCTCCCAGCAATTTACCTCCTTGTAGTAAGCAGCAAGAAGAAACAGCCCATTTCAGCTTCAGCACAGCCTAATTAGCACAAGTTGATTGTCCATTCGGATTGGCCTCCCAACTGTCCGCTGTTTCAGGCTGCAGGGATTCCCATTGGCTATTGCTGCACAGGCCTCTACTGCTTGCTGCAAGGAGGTAAATTGCTGGGAGTAGATTTTTTTTTTTTTCTTGTGCTAATCAAGCTATGCTGAAAACGAAAATGAAAGTAAAGCAGGCTGTTTGCTGCAACGAGGCAAAATTGCTGGGAGGCAGAGGCAGATTTCTTTTTTTTTTTTGTTTTCCTCACCAAAAAAAGTAGGTGCGTCTTATAGTCCGGGGAGCATCTTATACTCCGAAAAATACGGTAAGTATAAACATGATTGTGAATTCAGGAAATGGATACGAATAAATGGGGACAGTAGGACAGGGATGGTAGGCACGTTGGTGCTCTTATGCGCGCCCCTTACAGACCTCTTAGGAATGGGGTGAGGTCAACAGTAGACAGTCTAAGGTTAAAGTTTTGGGGGTTTGGGGAAGAAACCACAGAGTCAGGTAGTGCATTCCAGGCATTGACCACTCTGTTGCTGAAGTCCTATTTTCTGCAATCGAGTTTGGAGCAGTTTACCTTGAGTTTGTCTCTATTATTTGCTCGTGTATTGTTGTGGTTGAAGCTGAAGTTGACAGGTAGGACGTTGTAGCAGATAATTTTATGTCCTACGCTTAGGTCAGACGGAAGGCGGTGTAGTTCTAAAGTTGTCTAAGCCGAAAATTTCAAGCCTGGTGGCATAAGGGATTCTGTTGTGAGCAGAGGAATGGAGGACTCTTCTCCAGTGGTGAAACGTAAAATTTGTTACTACCGGTTCTGTGGGCGTGGGAGGGGGGGTTAATGTGACTGGGTGGGCGTGGCCAACTTTTTTTTTTTTTAACTTTTCAAAGCATTTTTTTCTACAACCTCTTCAGCCAAAGAGGTTGTAAAAAATTGCTTTTAGAAGGCTCTGACGATCCCAGCTGAGCCGCATGATCATCAGAGGCTTTTTTTTTTTTACTTTTAAAAGCATTTTTTTCGGCCGAAGAAAAAATGCTTTTAAAAGTAAAAAGAAAAAAGCCTCTGATGATCGTGCGGCTCAGCTGGGCATGGGTGGGGGCAGGGATTTTTGCTACCGGTTCTCCGAACCACCCACCACCATCGCTACCGGATTGGGCGATCCGGTCCGAACCAGGAGCATTTCACTCCTGCTCTTCTCGTGAAATACCTCTAGACTCGCTCTTCTCGGATTCTAGCCCAGCTGTGAAGGAGTGACCCATGGCCATAAACAAGGAAGGGTAGAGTTTCGGCAGCATCTCAAGACAAAGAGAACATTAGAAGAGCCTCTCTCTGCAGTGGCAGTTTGTGGAAAGTTTTGCGCAGGCCTTGCCAGGTTCCCTGCCATGTTGTTGACGGCAGCAGTTGGAAAAACAAGGACGGACTGTAATGCAATATTTGCATGTTTAGAGGGTGTGCAAGGCTGAGGGTTTCATCACACGGGCTGATCAGCCCCGGCGGCGTGTGAGAAAAGCTAAGTGTTCTGGCCTTCACCTTCAGTCAAAGTGATCAAGGGAAGGAGTTGCACAAGTGAAAGGCCTGTTATCTCCAAGGGAGATCATGGCTGCCTGTTTCCATATTTCCACGTTGCTTACCACAATTCAAGTGTTTTGCCTTATGTTCCTTTCCAGGTATACCTCAAAGGGACCCGCAGTCTATGCTATTTTCTTGGTGTGGCCAAAAGACAATGTGCTGACTCTTTCATCACCTGTTGTGTCTGCAAGAACTCAGGTAAGCAACATGAAAAATAAAGCCGAGTTGCACATTGTGTGATGTTTTGGGAAATCTTAATTCGTTTTGTAAACTAGGTCAGCTTCTTTTCCACAACAACACAGAAGTCTCTTTTTTTAAAATATAACTTTTTATTATTTTTTATAAAAACAAACATTTAGTACATCTATCGCCCCCTCCCTGTGACATCTTGGTGTTATCTTCAGCAGTTCTTCGTCTTCTTCTTCCAAAAAAGGAAATTTCTTCTATCTTGATCTTCATGTCTCCTTACTAAGACAAAATTCTGCCTATCAAATGTTTAAATATAATCATAAAACTTTTATCTTCTATATCTCTTTTCCAACCAATGATAAAAACAGTTCCATATCCTATAATACTCTATCTCTTCCCTATCTTTAATCATCAAAGTCAATCTATTCATTTCTGCACAATCCATATTTTTTTTATCATCTCCTCTTCCAAAGGTATTTTCTCTGCTTTCCAATTTTGAGCATAAACAATTCTTGCAGCTGTTATTACATGTATAATCAAATAAGTATTTTCCTTACTAATCTTTTTTTTAAAAAAAAAGCACAGAAGTCTCTCACAACAATAAATTACGCACAGAGAAAAGCCAAATCTGCAGGGTATCTAAAGCAAGATTAATATCATTAAAACACCAAAAACAACCCAACCCCAACATTTCCCCCAAACAAAACAGTTGCTGATAAATGCAAATGTTTTTTTTTAAAAAAAAAAGCAGAACATAAAACCGAGAACCGGTAACGGAAATTTTGAGTAGTTCAGAGAACCAGCAAATACCACCTCTGGCTGGCCCCAGAGTGGGGTGGGAATGGAGATTTTGCAGGAGTGGGGAGGGAATGGGGATTTTGCAATATCCTTCCCCTGGAGTGGGGTGGGAATGGAGATTTTGCAGGAGGGGGGAGGGAATGGGGATTTTGCAATATCCTTCCCCTGGAGTGGGGTGGGAATGGAGATTTTGCAGGAGTGGGGAGGAATGGGGATTTTGCAATATCCTTCCCCTGGAGTAGGGAGGGAATGGAGACTTTGCAGTATCCTTCCCCTGCCACACCCACCAAGCCAGGCCCACAGAATCCAATGGATTTCACCACTGCATTACATGCTCGGAAGTACTTAGGGGTATTCAGTCCAGAGCACTGTGTGACTCTTTTCACCAGGAAAAAGATGATGTGATTTTACTGAATGCACAGGAAGTTTATTTTGCCATTTAACATATCTCTGTTGAGAGGGCATTCCACAATTATCATTTTTTTGGCTTTCAGCTAGCCAAGAAACCTAGAAGGAGGTAAACCTTTGCAGCTAGTAGCTGATTCAGACAACGAGGAGGCTGGTGTGGTGCTGCGCCAGCAGCCTGTGCAGCTGGCACTCGAGTCAGAGAATGAGGAGGCTGGAGAAGATGTGGTGCCAGAGGCGGGGATTCAGCCAGGGCCTTCAGAACCTCCAGAAGCTCCCATAAGTGAAGAGGAAGAAGAGGAGGAGCCTCTTCTCGATGCACAGGTGCACAGAGCTGCCTAAAGGCAGGAGTGGCTCCTCAGGAGGAGGTCTCCTCGAGAGTAGGGCTTGGGGCTAATTGGCCACTCCCTTAGCCTATTTAAGGAGGAACGCCGACTGAGGCAATTTGCAGGGAACAACTTAGTTCACATTCCTTCGTGCCTTGATCTTAATTCTGTGCAAATTGCTTCTGGGCTTTCTGCCAACCATAGCAAGATTAAGATTATTTATTCTTTGGATTCTTGCAGGCTGTTAAGATAGTTAATTAACAGCCTTTGTTTTTTTTTTGTTTTTTGTTTTTTTTAATTTGATTTATATGCCGCCCTTCTCCAGAGACTCAGGGCAGCTTACAATGCGTTAAGCAAAAGCCTTCATACTTTTGTATATTTATACAAAGTCAGCTTATTGCCCCCACAACTGGGTCCTCAATTTACCTACCTTAGAAAGGATGGAAGGCTGAGTCAACCTTGAGCCTGGGGAGATTTGAACTTGCAGTAATTGCAGGCAGCTGATGTTAATAACAGTGCTTTAGTCTGCTGCGCTACCAGGGCTCCTAAGTTTGAAGAAAAAACTGATTTTATTTTAGTAAACTAAGGTTTGTACAGACTTTGTGTGTGCTGCGTTCTTTGGGGTCCGTAGCTGGGGCAGAACAGACTTACATTAGTTCATTCAGTGACTTCAAAGTTACAATGGCACTGAAAAAAATGACTTATGAATGTTTTTCACACTTACGACCATTGCAGCATCCCCATGGTCATGTGATCAAAATCCAGACGTTTGGCAGCTGGTTCATATTTATGACGATCGCAGTGTCCCAGGGTTCCGTGATTCCCTTTTGCAACCTTCTGACAAGCAAAGTCAGTAGGAAAACCAAATTCATTTAACAACCATGGCACTCACTTAACAACTGCAATGATTCACTTAACCAGTGTGGCAAGAAAGCTCGTAAAATGGGGCAAAATTCACTGAACAAATGTTTCACTTAGCAACAGAAGTGTTAGGCTCAGTTGTGGTCATAAATTGAGGACTACCTGTAGGAACTTAGCTTGTTTAACTTACTACGGGAGGAAGAATATATACGGGACGAAAGCCGTCTTGAAACTCTCCAAATCTGACAAATTTTAGATTCATGCTCCTAAGATTTTTAATTAAAAATAAGTGGTTTATAGTTACTGTTAAGAACTTGAAAAATCCTATTTCTCAATCGATTAGAGGAAACACTCTTACTAGGGCAGTGGCTAGTAGCTGGAGGGATGCCAGACTGTTCCTGTAATAGGCAGGAAATGAAATGACTTAATGAGCAGCTTGCGGAATTCACATTGTTAAATTGTTTTGTCTGGTGGTTCTTCTGTGTTGTAACTGCGGTGTACCTTTTGATCAGTCATTTTTAATAGTCTAATGCTAACATACCATCGAGGGATACAATTAGATTATATTCTTGGGAAAGAAAGAAAGAGATACTGTTTTATGGCTGTTGGCATTTAACTGATTAACAGAGTTGGAAGGGACCTTATAGGTCATCTAGTCCAACCCCCCACTCAATCAGGAGACCCAGGGGTGAAATGCTCCCGGTTCGGACTGGATTGCCCGATCCAGTAGCAATGGAGGCAGGTGGTTTGGAGAACCAGTAGCAAAAATCCCTGTCCCCATCCATGCCCAGCTGAGCTGCACGATTATCAGAGGCTTTTTTTTTTTACTTTTAAAAGCATTTTTTCTTTGGCTGAAAAAATGCTTTTAAAAGTAAAAAAAAAAAGCCTCTGATGATCACGCGGCTCAGCTGGGATCGTCAGAGCCTTTTAAAAGCATTTTTTTACAACCTGTTTGGCCAGAGGTTGTAGAAAAAATGGTTTTAAAAGTTAAAAAAAAAAATGGCCACGCCCACCCAGTCACATTACCCGTCCCACTACCAAGCCACGTCCACAGAGCCGGTAGTAACAAATTTTAGATTTCACCACTGAGGAGACCCTATACCATATGTGACAAATGGCAGTCCAATCTCTTCTTGAAAGCTTCCAGCGATGAAGCTCCCACAACTTCCGAAGGCAACTTCTGTTCCATGGGTTGATTGCTCTCATCATCAGAAAGTTCCTCCTCATTTCTAGGTTGAATCTCTCCTTGGTCAGTTTCCATCCATTATTCCTTGTCTGGCCTTCAGGTACTTTGGAAAACAGCTTGACCCCCTTCCTCTCTGTGGCAGCCCCTCAAATACTGGAACACTGCTATCATGTCTCCCCTGGTCTTTCTCTTCACTAGACTAGCCATGCCCAATTCCTACAACCATTCTTCATACGTTTTAGCCTCTGGTCCCCTAATCATCTTTGTTGCTCTTCTCTGCATTCTTTCTAGAGTCCCCACATCTTCTTTACATCGTAAAATGCAGCTCCCCATTGTTAAAAGTTAGACATGATCAACTTCATTTCTTTAGGGGTATCTTTCTCTCTAAGACAAGTTTGTAAAAATGAAATGGACTTCTATCAGTCTTGATGTAAGCAGTGGTGCCACGAGAATCCTGTCCAGGCATTTGCACCCATACCTACCTTTCCATAGCTCTCTTTTCCCTGGGAAAATTGTCCAAGCGTGAATTTTCTGAAATTGTTGTGCAGTTCTTCACTTTAGCTGGTCATACTGTCTAGTGTTGAGCAGACTTTTGTGTGATTTTTGGTGGAACTGATGCTCTGAAAGCACTAGCTTGTGGGTGAAGGGGCTTCAGTTTCAGGATTCCGTTTCAAACTTTATAATCCTCATTTAGTGACAATGGCGATAAAAAAGCCACTTTATGACCAAGCCTGACATTTACAACCTCTGCAGGCGTGTAAAGCAAAGGAAAAATGAAGTGAGATCCTAAGCACAATCATGGTTTCTCTTAGAAGCCACTTCATTTAATGACTGAATTGCCAGTTGTCGCTAAATGAGGACTACCTGTACAGACATACAGTTTTGGGCTGGATATATTTGAAACTTTTAGACCCGCATGCTCTATCAGTGATTATTACCTATAACTGATCTAAAGGGATGCAGTGGCTCAGTGGCTAAGACGCTGAGCTTGTCGATCGAAAGGTCGGCAGTTCATCGGTTCGAATCCCTAGTGCCGCGTAACAGCTTCTGCCAACCTAGCAGTTCGAAAGTACATTAAAAATGCAAGGAGAAAAATAGGGACCACCTTTGGTGGAAAGGTAACAGCATTCCGTGCGTTTTTGGCGTTGAGTCATTCTGGTCACATGACCCCGGAGACATCTTTGGACAGCGCTGGCTCTTCGGCTTTGAAACGGAGATGAGCACCGCCCCCTAGAGTCAGGAACGACTAGCACGCGTGTGCGGGGGAACCTTACCTTTACCTTAACCCAATATTTATATATAGCTTTTATGTTTTTATAACTTATTTGTACACCACCCAGAGTCACTTTGTGAGGGAGATGGGTGGTTTCTAAATGGGAGGGAGGGAGGGAGGAAAATATTGTTGCCAAAAAACCTTACGTGTGCCTAGAGTCTCTAGCAGCCGAGCCCAAATGAAGGAAGTTTTTTAACCTTTTGTTTCTTATCCTTGGCAGATCACCATGTTGGGATTCTTCAAGCCTTTAAAATGGCAGCCATCACCACAACAAGGATTGCAGGTCTTGTTGCCCTCAGAAAATCGTTGGCTTCTCCCATTCGAGCATGGCTGGGTGGTGAAACTGCTTGGAGTATCCTGATGGGAAAGTTGGAAAGAAACCACAGAATGACTGCCTGTCCTTTTTTCATCTCTTGCTTAAACCTGGTGATTAAGAGAGCCTGAACAAATCTGAAAGAAGTTGCAATTGCAGAATGCTTTAGCCTTTCCAGGCTGGCCATCCTTGTGCTCACCCTTTTCAAAAGGATGGTTGTAAATTAGATATCTGACTTGAGTTAATCTCGATATAATACAGAAAGCCAAACTTGGGCTGAGATACATCGAAACTTCGCTTCAGTGGGAAAGAAAAAATGTCTCAGGGAAATTATATTTTCTGGCACAAAACTGGCTGTGGAAAAGGCCTTAGTTGCCATTTTTTCCCAACAGGAGCTGGCTTTGAAATGCAAATCTACTTTGCTCAATTAGTCCTGGATGAAAAAATTATATGAGGTTGCTTCAGAAAGTGACTTCAAAAGCCTGCACACGGGTGAAATCCAGCAGGTTTTGACAGGCTCCGGAGAACCGGTAGCGGAAATTTTGAGTACTTCGGAGAACCGGCAAATACCACCTCTGGCTGGCCCCAGTGTGGGGTTGGAATGGAGATTTTGCAGTATCCTTCCCCCAGGAGTGGGGAGGGAATGGGGATTTTGCAGTATTCTTTTCCTGCCATGCCCATCAAGCCATGCCACGCCCACCAACCCTCGCCCACAGAACCGGTAGTAAAAAAAAAATTTCACCACTGCCTCCACCTCAGCCAGAAGTTCTGGCTGAGGCGGAACAGAGAAGCCTTGAAGCTACGCTTAAAAATAAGCAGGAGATGAAGGGAACACAGAATGATCTCGGACGGCTAATAGCAAACCACTAATAATAGATCCCATTATGGGGCAATAGAGAACGATATGCCAGGTGTACTGAAATGATGAAATGACTTGAGGAGAAGAAAAATAATGCCATTCTTGGAAAGCAAAGTATTATGACACGAGGATTTGTTCTTGGGATTTCAGTATTGGGCAAGGCAAAGGGCTCTCCTGGAATAGGGTCTAATATTACGTTTGTTTTCATGAAAGTTACATTTTAAAAAAAAATCCCATCTGCTGGTTCCACCTACGGAGATGACAGATGCAGTCATTTCTTACTTTCTAGTCTTTTGTTGGTCATTCTTGCATCCAGGAAGATTTGGCAGCTCAAAAGATCCAGTTGAAACAACGGCATATTTACTAGGCCCCATTTTTTCAGCCATAGGGTTCAGCCAATCGTTCTCTATTTTTGCAAGCCTGAATTATGACAAAATCTACTTCCCTTGTGGGCTTCGCATTCAATCTTCCTTCACTACTACCTTCCCTTTTGAATTCGTTTTTAATAAAGAAGATAGGAGAGGAAATACACTTCCCTTCCATCCCTCAAGATGGTTCTGGTTTTTCCAAAAACAAGCCAGTCATATCCTTGTTCAGGAAAGGAAATTTTTAGCCACAGGATTGAGAAGTAGAGTCTACACCAGTGTTTCTCAACCTTGGAAGCTTGAAAATGGGTGGACTTCACCTCCCAGAATCCCCCAGCCAGCAGCACTGGCTGGGGGGATTCTGGGAGTTGAAGTCCACCCACCTTCAAGCTACCAAGGTTGAGAAACACTGGTCTAAACTGATTTTTCTCATTTAGACACTGTAAGAGGAGAGCCTCGTTAGGCAAAAAAAACCTGATAACACCTTTTCCAAATAAACTTGATTTTTTTTCCCTCTGCAAATTAATTTAACCCAGATGATAAGGATCAAGGAGCTGGCCTGATGCTCTCACAAACAGATCTTCTTTTGACAGTTTCTGTAGTTCCTATTTTTCTTGAGGCAAGGGCCACAGCTACCAAGCTGGGCTTGGGTTCATAGCAGATAGTTTTGCCAGAAATAATGACCTTAAGAAAGGTGTGGAGCAGTGTGGTGCAGTGTGTGGAATATTGTCACCTCTCCACAGTCCCCAGATTAGGAGAAGGGAACGGAGCAATGAATTAGCCCAGTGATGGCTAACCTTTTTATCCTCGGCTGCCAAAAGCATGCGTACGCGTGCAATAGCATGCGTGCACGTGGCCATACCCATAATGCAATGCCCACCACCATGCCATGCACATGTGCACGCAACCCCCCCCCCCCCGTGCTACCCACTGCACAGGCACGTGCAACCCCCTGTGCATGCGTGTCCGACCCCCCACGCCCCATTTTGGCCCAAACAGGCCTCCTTGAAGCCTCCGGTGGCCTGAAATGGCCGGTTCCCAGACTTCCGGTAGGCCCATTTTTCGCCCACCCAGAGCCTCCACACGAGCCCTGTATTACTTGGCATCCAAAACGGGCCACGTGGAGACTCCTGGGAAGGGCAAGGCGGCATGGGCGTGTGCACGCGACTTCCGCATGCACGGCAAAGACCCAAGAATCAGCTGGCTGGTGGGAGGCGCGCGCGCATGCACAGTGCAGCTGACCTGGGACAACGGCTCATAGGCCAACAGAAACGGCTCTGTGTGCCACCTGTGGCGTGCACACCATAGGTTCTCCATCACGGAATTAGCCGATCCAAATAGCTTTTAAGTACTGTGTGGCCGGCATTTTGCAATTCTGAGAACATCCCCTTTCCATTCCAGTAATGGCTGATACCAGTGGTCAGATAAGACAGGGAATGAGAAAGTGGGTGACGAGACTAGAACCAAATTTCCAAAAAGAATAGCCTTTTGCATGCATAAATTAAATCAATGCTGGTAAATGAAGAGGGGGGGAATACAGTATTTGGCAGACCATCTGCGGCCAGCGACAGCTCCCCATCGCCCGGTGCGTTCCCACAGGGAGGGCCTCCTTGGGGTGCCGTCGGCCAGACAATGTCGGCAGGCGACCCCTAGGGAGCGGGCCTTCTGTGGGTGCACCTACTCTGTGGAATCAGCTCCCCCTGGGGCTCCGGGTGGCCCCTGACCTTCACTCTTTCCGCCGTGGCCTTAAAACATGGCTACTTCGCTTGGCTGGCTTGGACTGAAGGGGTTTTAGAGGGGATTTTAATGGTTTTTATAGTTTTTATTGGGTATTTTTAGAGGAAGGATTGGACTTTGTGTGTTTTATTGTTGTGAGCCGCCCTGAGTCCTTTTGGAGATAGGGCGGCATATAAGTCCAAATAATAAATAAATAAATAAATAATAAACTTGTAGACTGTACAGGTAGTCCTTGACTTACAATATTTTGTTCAGTGACCATTCACAGTACTGAAAAAGTGATTTATGACTCTGTTTCACAGTTACAACCTTTCCAGTGTCCCCATGATCACGTGATCAAAATTCATATGTTTAGCAACTGGTTCATATTTATGACGGTTGCAGTGTCCGAAGCTCATATGATCCCCCTTTTGCGACCTTCTCATCAGCAAAGTCAAGGGGGGAGCCAGATTCACTTAACAACCAAGTTACTAACTTATCAACTGCAGTGATTCACTTAATAACAACTGAGACAAGAAATGTTGTAAAATAGGGCAAAATTCACTTAACAAATGTCTCAGTTAACGACATAAATATTTATTTATTTATTTATTAGTTCAATTTATATGCCGCCCTCCTCCGAAGACTCAGGGTGGCTTACAATTCACTTATAGCAATAGCCTTAATTCTTCTGTATATACCTGCTTATTAGGGCTTTTGGCCCCCCATAAGCGGTGTTTCTACAAAGTCAGCTTATTGCCCCCACAATCCGGGTCCTCCGTGTTGGTCATAAGTCAAGGACTACCTGGGTAATGTTGCAAGAGATGATTCTTATACAGATTTCTGCAATGTATCAATCATGGTGCCTTTTAATTTTTTTACTATCGGCTTTTAAATGGTTTTTTTTTTTAAAGAATAAATATTGAAATAAATGTTTGCATTGGATTCGCTTTATGGTGCAGCAATCCTTGGAACAAATTTGAGTAGAAATATTACTTTTGGCAAGATTGTTGGAATGTTTTTTGGGATCATCTCAATACTGTTCTGCAGGAGCACACATTTTTGTAAAGCTACCTGTAAAAATGCCTTTCAACTGAAAGAAGAATTTTGCCATCACCTTGCCAACAAAAGTGCGTATAGTCAAGGCTATGGTTTTCCCAGTTGCAATGTATGGCTGTGAAAGTTGGACCATAAGAAAGGCTGTGCGCCAAAGAATTGAGGCCTTTGAACTCTGGTGCTGGAGAAGACTCCTGCGAGTCCCTTGGACTGCAAGGCGATCAAACCAGTCAGTCCTAGAGGAGATCAACCCTGACTGCTGTTTAGAAGGCCAGATCCTGAAGAGGAAACTCAAATACTTTGGCCACCTAATGAGAAGGAAGGACTCACTGGAGAAGAGCCTAATGCTGGGAAAGATTGAGGGCAAAAGAAGAAGGGGACGACAGAGAACGAGGTGGCTGGATGGAGTCACTGAAGCATTAGGTGTGAGCTTAAATGGACTCCAGAGGATGGTAGAGGACAGGAAGGCCTGGAGGAACGTCCATGGGGTCACGATGGGTCGGACACGACTTCGCAACTAACAACAACAAAAGTTGAAAGACAAAGTATGTGTCACCCCAAATATTGTACTTCCCCCCCCCCCCAAATTTTATCTCTTGAGAGGACTGTTGCAACTAGCAGACACAATGGAGACAAATAGCTGTAGTATGTCAAAATTGACTCGCAAAACACCTCTTTTCTGAGCTCTCAGCTCGACAAAGAAACACAGGAGGGAGGAAGGGTATGATGGGAATGCGTGGGAAGCTGGGAGGGAGAGAAGGAATTCAAGTGAGCCGTCTGCAGCTCGAGAAAATCTTACAACCCCAAGGTCACGAGCAGAAGATTTTTGAAAGGTACAGTCTGTATTCCCAAAATAAAATGCTTGACCTGGATTGGTGGACAATGGACACTGGGCGGCTTGTGGGGGGGGGAGGGAGTTTCATTATACTTCATTATGCACTACTATTAATCTTCTCACTGTTCCCCCCACCCATCTCATTCCACTTATGACTGTATGACTAACTTTGTTACTTGTATCCTTACGATTTATATTGATATTGTTTCCTGATTGCTTATTTGTACCCTATGACTATCATTAAGTGTTTTACCTTATGATTCTTGACGAATGTATCTTTTCTCTTATGTACACTGAGAGCATATGCACCAAAGACAAATTCCTTGTGTGTCCAATCACACTTGGCCATTAAAAAATTCTAATCTATTCTATTCTATTCTATTCTATTCTATTCTACTCTACTCTACTCTACTCTACTCTACTCTACTCTACTCTACTCTACTCTATCCTTTCCTATCCCATTCTGTTTTAATATTCTATTCTATTCCATTCTACTCTACTCTACTCTACTCTACTCTATTCTATTCTATTCTACTCTACTCTACTCTACTCTACTTTACTCTTTTCTATCTCATTCTGTTCTAATTATTCTATTCTATTCTATTCTACCCTTTCCTATACCATTCTGTTCTAATATTGTATTCTATTCTACTCTACTCTATCCTTTCTTATCCCATTCTGTTTTAATATTCTATTCTATTCTATTCTATTCTACTCTACTCTACCCTACCCTACCCTACCCTACTCTACTCTTTTCTATCCCATTCTGTTCTGTTCTATTCTATTCTATTCTATTCTATTCTATTCTATTCTATTCTATTTATGTTGTGCTTCATGCGGAAACCTCAGAACTGGCTTTTCTTTTTGAAGAATGGATCTCTCAGTAAAGTTTTACTCTTTGTAATTAAAAAAAAAATTCCCAAAATTCTCTTTTGCTGTGCAGACCAAGCGGATGGTTGGCATTGTCGCTCTTTCCCCTGAGCCAAAGCCATCCCTGCCCTGTTCCTTTCATTACTTTGGATCGGTTTTGAAGTGATTTCTTAATGCCTTCAGGGGAAAAGAGCCAAGGTCCACTTGCTCCAAATAAAGGTGACTGCCAACGAACGTCACTAAATGCCGGGTTAGGCAAGAACAGCCTGCAAAATAGACTTGTCAGGTTGGAATCCATTCCAGCTGAAAGATCAAGAGACAAAATTGATGTCACTGCTCCCAACCGGCCTTATGGGATCTGTGGAACCCGACACAACCTGTAGTTCAGGCAATCTAGAGCATTGGCAAATGGGGCCTGCTTGGCACGGAATGCCCCTTGCATCACAGTGAAGAGCCACGGTGTTGACACGTGCTTTGTGTACAAATGAAGGATGTGGCCTTGGCAACGAAGCACAATTATTGTTGAACCCTGGGAGAGAGACTTAAGGCTACGCTTCTCTTCATTTTACCAGATGGAAGGGAGCATTGCTTGCGAGAGCCAAAACAAACACTGCATCTGTTTTCAAGCCATCTTCTCTTGTTGATTTAATGGTATAAATGTGCTTAGGAGACTTCTCCAGGTCTACAGCGCAAGCTACACCTCTGTGTGAGCAGGAAGCACCAGAGTGCCAAATGGGGCCTTTACGAAGAGGAAGCTTGATAGGACAGGTATGTGATTTATTTATTTATTTTGCCCCAAAGACCAAAACGAGAGTAGAATTATCTAAATTGCTGCAACAGGTATAAGATGCAACAAAGAAAGATGGTATGATTCTTAGATTTCAGTTACGATCGTCTCCATGCTAGCATTAAGGATAATCCCCATGGGATTCAGTGGGAGATTTTCAACAACTGTGCATAGAATCAGGTTCTAAGGCAGAGGTCTTCAAACTTGGCAGCTTTAAGACTTGTGGACTTCAGCTCCTAGAATTCTCCAGCCAGCATAGCTTAAAGCTATGTCCACAAGTCTTAAAACTGCCAAGTTTGAAGACCTCTGTTCTAAGAGGCTTGGTTTAATCAGAAATGTTCCAAGCAACAGAGAATTTACAGTGGCAAAGGTTTATGAATAGTGGTGTTTAAATTCAACTATATAAAAAGGTATAACAAAATGAAAGTCCATCTTGGATCCAAGTTAAGACTTTTAAATGAATGATATAACCTTTTAATCCAATATCAATCTTGACTCCTGATGATTACATGGATACTTCATGTAGTTTTCTTGGCAACATTTCAGGAGTGTGTATGGACTGACCCCCAAATCACCCAACTGTTTTTGTGCCTAAAATTCTAAAATTTTGGTCTAAAATTTTAGTCTAAAATTCTTTGTCATTTATTTAACCATAATACCAAACCACAGTTCTATAAAAATTTCCCAATTCAGGCACTTTCCATATATGTGAATTTTCAATTCCTAGAGTTCCTTACCAGGCAGGTTTAATCCAGCATAGCTGTTTAAGGATCAGCAAACTTTGGCTGGACGGTGAATGATTAAACCTCAAATATAGTTATTCAAAACTTAGTCCCCAAGGGTAATAATTACAATATGCTTATGACTGAAACTTCATTTAACGGGAATGGAAATAGATAGGCTGAGAAGGGGTTTCCTGGCAAAGGTTAATTTTAAGAGGCAAGAGAGGTAGCATAATATATTTAAGAGGGATCATCACCATCCTATAGGAATACTGGGTGGACTGGAAGAACAGGTAATAGAGGACACCTGTTTTGCATCTAGGAAATCCCAGTTTTGATGCTGAAGAAACTCCTCCCCCAAATCCTGGAGAGCCATTGACAATGTAAATACTGGAATTGGCAGTTTCCTCTGTTGGAAGACAAATAGGCAATTCAATTCATAGTGGCAGAAAAATCCACACCAGTATGGTGCTGTTGTAAAGGAACAGAAACCAGAGTAGAGGAGCTGTCAGGCTAGAGGACAAGGTTTTTCAGCAGAGAGCAAGAAAGGAGTAAACCACACAAAAACCTCAAAAGTAGAAAGGTTGGGTTAAGGAAGGTCTAGACTAGAGTAAAAGCACTTGAAGAGCTTCATGAGTGTTGTTTATTCAATGCTTAACCTGGTTCCTGAATTAATCCATTATAGGAATAGGAATACAATACAATACAATACAATACAATACAATACAATACAATACAATAGAATTCTTTAATGGCCAAGTGTGATTTGTCTTTGGTGCATATGCATATGGGCCAAATTAATCAGTGTACATAAGGAGAATAACATACATTCATCAAGAATAAAAACAAAGATACAACACTTAGTGATAGTCAAGGTTACTAATAAGCTATCAAAATCATACTAGGAAACAAAAACAATATAATTGAAAGGTACAAGCAACATGGTTATAGTAATAAGTGGGAAGAGAGAGATACTAGTAAGGAAGAGAAGAATAATAGTAATACAGTCTTAGTAAATTGACAGTATTTATTTAATATTTAATAGAGATTATTTAAAGTAGTGCAGGGAGCTGAGTTGGCTCAACAAATTAAGCCACAAAAACTTAAATTTAGCAGATTGAGGAATTGCCATCGCTACATTTGCAACTGCCCAATTAAGGATGCTGCATCCATAACACTAACGCTTGTTATTCTTGCCAAGCACTTCCAGTTGCTTTCCAGAACTCTGGGAGAGTTTGTCTTCCTCCCCCTTGTCTCCCCTGCAAAAAATAAATAAATAAATAAATAAATCCCATAACCCCCCCCCCATTCTTAAAAAGCAAACCTGCCCCCTTCTCATCTCAGGTTCCCTGGGGCTCCTTAGGTACACTTCTCCCACTCTCAGAGGAACACCGCCTATTGCACATAATGCAGTTCAACCTTGCCAGCAGCGCGTCCGCTGCTCGCCATTTCCCCTTCTCCTCTTTGTAACAGGCAGGTGTTAGGTAGGTGAAGCTCGCCCGCCTCCATTGCACAGAGGGAAGCAGGTTCCCCAGAGCAGAGGTCTCCAACCTTGGCAACTTTAAAGACTTGTGGACTTCAACTCCCAGAATTCCTCAGCCAGCAAAGATAGACAGATAGATAGATGATAGACAGACAGACTGATAGAAGATAGATAGATAGCTAATAGATAGAT